AAACCCACCAGCCACCCTGCATAAGGAAATGCAGCAATCTACTTCTGTAAAGATTTACCTTCTTGGAAACCCAAAGGGGGTCACTACGAATTGATACAGACTTGATGGCAGTGAGTTTGTTGTGTTTTCTTTCCTTTACTTTCTTGAGCCAAAATTTGGAAAAATGAGCTACATTAGGCAGCATTAAATAGAAATCCATGAATAGAATTGAGGGAAGATTTATGAACTTGGACAGTGTCTTAGTTACCTAGGGCTGCTATAACAGCAACACCACAAGTGGATGACTTTAGCAAACAGAAACTGATTCTCTCACAGTTTAAGAAGCTAGATGTCCAAATTCAGGGTCCCAGCTCTCGGGGAAGGCATTTTCTCTCTGTCATCTCCGGGGGAATGTCCTAAGTCTCCTTTCAACATCTGTGGGCCCTGTATTCCTTGGAAATTTCTATGTGCCTTATATCATTCTTCCCCTGGTTCTATGAGATCCTCACGTCCAACCCTTCTTCCTCTGTAGTACTGAGATCCCTTCTTCTTTCCTTACTTCTTTCTCCTTTTAAGTCTTGTAAGATAAAAGGTAATGCAGGTCACAATGCAGGGAAACTCCCCTCCCATGGATCAGGACTGTGACCAGAATAAGGGTGTTGTATATCTCTGCTAGCATAGTGCCTAAGGCACTGGACTGCTAACCAGAAGGCTGGCGGTTCAAACACACCAGTCTCTCCTTGGAAGAAAGGTTGGGCAATCTACTTCCATAATGATACCCGCCCCAGAAACCCAAGGAAGGATCACTATGAGTTGGGGCCGATTTGACGGCACATAACAACAACAACATCACCCTAACCCACTCATAACTGATTGGCTAATCACATCACGGAGGAGGACTACATCATTATATAACTGCTACATTGTTACATAACTGCCAAACCACTGAGAAGCACAGCTCAGCCAAGATGACACATATTTTCCAAAAAGAAAAAACCAAACTCACTGCCATCAAGTCAGACCCAACTCATAGCGACCCCACCTTGGGTTTCCGAGATGGTAACTCTACGGAACAGACTGCCCAATCTTCCTTCTGAGCAGTGGCTGGTGGGTTTGAACTCCCTGCGTTCTGGTTAGCAGTCAAATGCTTTAGGCACTATGCCACCAGAGGGGTACACAATTCAATCCATGACAGACAAGAAAAAAATTACATCTTTATTTTTATTAACTACTGCTGGAAGTTAGCACACACACACTCAATCACTGCCGTCGAGTTGGATCTGACTCACAGTAACCCTTCCTTGGGTTTCTAAAGTGATATCACTACAGAAATAGACTGCCCATCCTTCCTTCCAAGGAGTGGCTGGTGGGTTAGCATTTCCTTCAATTATACATGTAGGTAATAAACCAATGTAGATTATAAATGCATATCATTTTGTCACTTACAGAAATTACATATAATTTCGTAATACAGTTGTTGAATATATCTTGACAAATTCACCATTTACATTTATCACTTGTACAAATTTATAGTAGTTTTCTAACCTGCCCATAAGTTTTGTCATTTAATCCACAAATAAATAAGAGCAGATATATTACTATTATCACAAACTGAGGTTTTTCTAATATTTTAAAACTATATTTAAATCTAATTTATTTCCTTTTTAATCTTATGTAGTTTATTTTATGTAATTATAACTATTATTCGGAAAAACAATCCCTGGGCTTCACTGAATTGTCTAAGGTGTCAATGGCATCAAAAAGGTTATAAAAACCTCTGGGCAATTAAGTGAATCTATTATCACTTGAGTACTCAGATAATAATACCTATTTATCCAAAGCCTCCCAAGTAAGATTATGCATAAACCAAAACCTGGAACAATATACCAATCTAGCTAAATTAATTTTAACAGAAGAAAGACACAACACTGAACTCAGACTAAAAGTTTTAACTAGATTTCCAAATCCTGGCACTGTGGATGAATATGTACCTAAAACTATCCTTTTTCTACAAGAAATTCAAATGTTGTATATAAGACAAAACTAAGCAAATAGCAACAGCAAAAAATTTTTAAAAAGTACTTAAAAGCACTTAAAATAGGCAAGATCAGAAGGATTTAGTAAGTAAAGATTTAATTGAAAGTATATGCTAACAGATTTAAATGGAATCTAGAAAATTTTTGTGCTAAGAACATTTGTAGAACCTGGTAAACTTTAGAATTCTTCTGGCCTAACAGGACTGGAAAAAGATTGCAAAGATGGGAAACTGAACAGGAATTTTCTTCATAAATCTAGGATTTCAAAAGATAGATATTCAAAGTAAAGGTGATCCAGAAATTAAAACTTTCTCTCTCAAAATCCTGCCAATAGTGGAATATAGGAAAAGGTGTCCTAGCACTGAGAAAAATTAGGAGGAGACGCTATCCTTACAAATTTTAACCTCAAGTGGATTTGCAGTCAAGTAATATCGTATTTGGAAGTCCAGAATACCTCAAGAATAAATTTACTTAAAGGAACCTAAAAATATGCCCATGGCAGAAGAAAGTAAAATTCCTCTGAATGAAAACCCATCTATCCTAGATTTCAAAGAATTTCCCAAAATAATTTTTCACGAAAAATGAGCAACTCACAATTCAAAATCACAAAGCATGAAAAAAAGTTACTATGAATAAGATCCAGCAGAAACAAAGAAAATTATAAAAAAATTAGTAAAAATATGAGCAGTCAACTTCATGTGGATAAAAGATCTTGTTCACAGCACAAAAAAAATGTTAAATCTGTACTTAAAAT